GCGGTAACGAAAATTGTAGAGTTTTGTTTGATAGCCACATCATGTAAATTGGCGGTAACGAAAATTGTAGAGTTTTGTTTGATAGCCACATCATGTAAGTTGGCAGTAATGAAAATTGTAGAGTTTTGTTTGATAGTCACATCATGTAAGTTGGCGGTAACGAAAATTGTAGAGTTTTGTTTGATAGCCACATCATGTAAGTTAGCAGTAACGAAAATTGTAGAGTTTTGTTTGATAGCCACATCATGTAAGTTGGCAGTAACGAAAATTGTAGAGTTTTTAAATAATGTATTGAACTTTCTTATTTAATGTTAAGCATTACTAAAACTTGAAATCTGAGTATATAAGATTTATCGAGTAAGTGTGGGAACTACAGAAGTACTGACATGTCTCAAGTACTTGTTTTGTTAGTGAACGTTTATATGTAACATATGTAGGCTTCACTCTTGTAAGAAGGCACTTTTATTTTCTTCTTTCTGCTTAGTTTCTTTATTAAAACTTGGTTAGTATTGACTTTGAATTTTAGGTAAAATGAGAAAAGTGTTTGCAGTAAAAAATTTATAAGATTTATTGTTCTCATAAAAATGGTGCTCTGTGATTTTGATTTGGTGCTTATTTACTGACACTAAAACTAAGTGTATGATAATTTCTTTCATGTAAAGTGTTCTAATTATCTGAAGTGCTTCAGAGAACAACACATTATTCTTTGCTGCTTGTTTCTAGGCTAGAGCACTCCACAGTAACTATTATCCAATAGAAATAGACCCAACCATCAGTATTAAAGACAAGATTCCTTGGATGGAAGAATGGTAAGTGATGGAATACAGTTGCTCCTTCTTAGTCTTTGTGTTTGTTTGACCTAAAAAATTATCTTTTTTTATTGTTGTTCTAACATTTGTGATATCGTTTTAAATATTTGGTTATTTTTTTTTTCTGAGAGTTAGACTCATTAGTTGTCTCGTTTCTCTGGAATGTCAACTACCCAGTTGATATTTTCAACTGACTTGAATTATTTATTAGACACTAACTGCTTTGATACACACACACTTATGCTTGCATTTTTTTCTCTTGTTCTTATGACATATTTTCATTTTGCACACTGTTCACTTTATCCAGGACTTTTTTATTTGCAAATGTTCACTGTGTTACTTAAAACTGATGCATGATCTTTCTCCCAACATGTTTTTGGTTTTTCTTTCAAGCCCGAACGTTGCACTTCACTTCCAAGACTGTGTCTTGTTTTCCTTGATCATTTTATGTTTCTTATTCCTATGTTCTCAGTCAGAGATCAATTCTTTAGTTTTCTGATTTGGGGTTAACCCGTGAGTTCTTCGTGTAGTAGGTCTGGTACATCATATAGATGTGTTTGAGAGCTCTTGAAAGTGGCTTCTTTAGCTGATTCTGATATAATATTTATCAAGTTGTCTGGTAGCTTTATCACAGAATGGGTAAGTTCAATGTCTCATCTTCCGTTTAACTCCAAGTTCCTGGCAGTCCTCTTGAGTATGATTCTTTACATGTTTAGCTACAATTTACCACCCACGCACGTTATTGTGTTTCAAGCTCAGATTTCTGTAGAATTAAAATAGAAGTTAAAAAGAGTATCATACTGTGTGATTAATGTAACTAAATTTGGATGGACAATATATTCGACATTATACATCATAACGATATTTGCTAACCTTTTAAACGTGGGCCAGCTCATGTCACAACATTTTGTAGTTTCACAGAATTACATTTAAACACTAATTAAACAACTTTGTTATCCATTTATGTCAAGAGATTAGCATCAGAATGTAGTTTATAATTCAAAATTTCATAGGCATTTTCATTTGTTAATTTCAAAAGTAAATATTAAAAAATACTCAATCTCCAGCTCTTTGTGCCACATTCACGTCTGTGTTCTGAATTCTCCTCTGTCAGCTTGTACAACTTTAATGGTCATTCATCCACACTATTTTAGTCAATTATGTATTACTTATGTTTTAATGTGCATATTAGAAATGTGAATGATTTGTTTGGGGGGAAGAAGTTAGAGAAATGTTAACAAAGCTTAACTCACGAGACAACGTGTGCAGAACTTCACACTCAGCAAGCGAGTGTAAATCTACTGGTCTTCCCACTGTGATATGTTGCTTTTCAGGCTTAAATATACAATACATGATACAAGATTGGTAATAAAAATATATAATTAATTATAAACAGCTGAAATTATGAATAACATGAACACAACATGTAATTATGTATTGAGAGAAGTTAAAAGTTGTGTTGATTTCATTTGATGATTTCTCAAAATTTCATTGTACTTTGATGTTTCAGTTACATTTAATGTTAGGGTAGAGAAAATAACAAATAAAATTTAAATGGTTACCTTAAAAAACGTTTGATAATCATTTAACAGATTTTAGAGGTCATACAAAAATAAAATACAAAACTGTAAGTTAAAAGAAAGTATTTTTATTTTGAGCATAAAAATCACCTCACATTCAAACTGACTTTTTAAAAGTTTTGGAAATTCACAGACAAATTTTACTATAAATACTTTATTAAAAATTCTAATTTTTTGTGCATCAGACTTGTAATGTTTTCTACAAGCTTTCATGAAGACACACTTAGTATATTCAGAGTTCTAATATGTAAAGTATCGTGATTTTCAGGGTTGGTTAAGATGACCAATCTTGGACCCTACCTGATGTTAAAGGGTTAAATGAATTAACGTATGGTGATTTTGCTACATTTCGTACCAAAGTTTTGCTCTGACAACAATTATCATACTTATGAAACCACATATGTTGTGACATAGGTTTTATATTCAATTGAAATTAAATACATAGTTTTACAAAGATGATCAACATCATGAAATATTTTTTTTATAATTTTGAAGAAAACAAGTTGTTAAGTTTATTTGAGATTAATTTTACACCTTCCGCTGTCAAAGAAATACACGTATAAAATATCAGGTATAACTCTGTGATGATTTGAAGCTCTTTGGAGTCTGAAAGTGTGATTTTAGCCGTATAATAGCCTAAAGAAAATAATTTTTATATTGGACAAAATAATTTTTCATTATTTAACACATTCAGTCCTGATATATTGTTAAATAGAACAAAATGAATTAATGAACAAGTTTTTTTTTTTGGCTTAATTTGAAGAAGAGACCCTCTTGAAAAACACATTAGTTTTTGGATATTTATATCCACTTTATGGTGATTCTATAATGACTGTATAATTCAAATTACAGCATGCTCATTCTATTTTTATTATTTAGTGAAAAAAATGTTTAATTCTCCAGTGTTTTGTGTTTGAAAAGTGGAAAGGGGTGTTGTAAATAACTTCCATCAAACAGTCTATGGGGGCTGTTAGCATTGTTGTTTTTTCCAGTCATAGTTTCTAAGAGGTGCAAATACTGTAGAGGAAAGGTTACAAAGTGATAAAACATTCATGTTTTACATGGTAATAAGTGTTACAAAGTGACACATGGTTGCTCCTGTGTCACCATGTAAAACATGAAGTTTTATAAGTGTTACAAAGTGACACATGGTTGCTCCTGTGTCACCATGTAAAACATGAATGTTTTATAAGTGTTACAAAGTGACACATGGTTGCTCCTATGTTACCATGTAAAACATGAATGTTTTATAAGTGTTACAAAGTGACACATGGTTGCTCCTGTGTCACCATGTAAAACATGAATGTTTTATAAGTGTTACAAAGTGACACAT